TGCTTCTGTTGTCAGAATTTACCACCTTTAGTTTACCTGTACTGTACTATGGAGGTAGTGAAGCAATATTATTATTACTGTACATCCAAGGCCAAAGTCATCAGTATGCCATGGTGATACAAGAACAGCACAACGTGTACTGTAATGACATTGTGAACATGTACCCAAGCCAAGGTCTGTATTACTTCTTGTTTCGATGGGGGGGGGGGGGGGGTGGAACCTGTCTTTAAAATTAATTAAAAGGACACCTGCACCTTTCCGCCCTTTTTCCGGCGTTTCCGCTGTCCCTCGAAGTCGAGGGTACTAATCGCCCACACATCAATCTTTAGAATGCAAACACGGAGGAAATTAATGAGGACGATGTGGGATAGTACTTGAATTCATTGATCCTGGACCTGACCGTACACAATCATGATGTACATGGATGCTGCACATACACGGAGAGAATGCGATTGCGAGAATCAGGAGTTGCAGACTGTGCAGTGTCCAGCAGATCCCTGGACTGCCAGTCATCACTATCAGTCGTTACTCAGTAGTTCCCTTTTACTTTTAGTTGTAGTGCACACTGGAGTGCACTTGTACTACTACTACATCGCAAAGAATGTGAACGCACCGCTCAGGTGGTCGGATTTCAGTTGCCTGCACTGTAGTTGTAGTGGCAGTACTACTAGTAGGTCAACGGACAACGTAACGTAACGTCGTGCAGCAAGCTTGTGAGTTGTACTTGTGTACAGCCAACACGGCAACAGGTGTGCTTTCGAGCCTCAAAGTCAAAGGTTCAAGTGCTGCTACTACAATCATGTAGATCTACAATCATACACACAGTCATGTAGATGCACGTGCGCACACCGACTTTGCACTGATTATGATTTTTTTATGATTTTAGTCCATGGATATCCGGTATATCCGGCCTGATTACGTCTCGAGCATGCTAGCACTATTCCGTATTCGTAGATGTCCTGATGAAAAATAACAGAAAATGAGTATGGCATGATGTCGACAAGTACAATAATTATGCAGTATCTGTGCATCTTCTACCGCCCCTCTCGGGGAAGCTGGCTCTCTTGAGTAGTTGAGACTGACATGTACCAGGTATACGCGCAGTCCGTATACTGAAGTACGTAGCTCCGCGCACGGGGCGTCCCAGCATTTTTATTGACCAGGCCGGATTTGTTTCGCGAAGTCCGACTTCTTTCTTCAGACAGAAGTTCTCCTTCGCGAGGGCATTTACTTGTAGACCTCTACGTACTGTAACAAGCTACATCATGTCTGTAGTACCGCCGGTAGATCTACATGTACATGGTGGTAGACCTACGTAGAGAGCCTGTTTCTGAAAGCGATAACGTGAGTTTGCTGTGCTCCCAATTATTTGTTTTCTGACAATGTCATTCTAAAACTTTGCAGAGCATGAGTGTCATGCTCAGTTGGGTAGTATTTCGCTAGTAGTACTATACTAGGAGCAACCACACCAGACCTCGGTTGAGTCGGAGTAGAAAAGATGACTGCCTTGGCCACGTCCTGACTCACAGCTCCCCATGCCATGGCCAGCGGACCACCGCAGCCTGAAGATGATGTCGGGCATTGTCCAGCTTCTTCCGTCACTTCTCCGCTAGTCCGGAGACAGCCTCGCGACGATGTGGACGATAATGGCGACGCCGCACCGCACGAGCGGAAACAAGTCTTTTCGACGACGTCCGAGGACGATGCGGACACTGCACGCAAGTTCCTTCCTGATCTTGTTCCACCAGCCAGCGAGGACAGCGCCGTCGAGGATGTTGCGAATCTACAGCACATGCAGAGTGAAACTCCGCTGCCTGCAGCCTCCGCCCTCCCCGCACTAGCGGACCTCGCGCGCTACGACACGGATAGACGGTACGAGTATACGTATGCGTTCGATTCGGACGATACGAACGCGTTGGTGGCGGAGAACGACGAAGTGCCGTTGATGAACGAATCAGGTAAATTAATACTGAGTATTCCGTGGTGAAGGGGAGCTCCAGAATGTGCACTGGGACCGAAAGAGAGCCTGAACTTCTAATTATCACTTTCTTAGTATTGACTCCCATTGATTTTCGCTATACCTAAGCAGTCAAATATTCCTGCATATTTCACTCCTTTAATAGGGCTATATTGACTGCTTATATTTGACTGCTTAGGGGTTGCGCAGTTGAACGGTGCCTAGTGCAGCATTGTCACTGCATAAGTAGGTGGTGGTGCAACGGTTGTGCAATCATAAAACCGGGATTCATGAGGTTATCGTTCTAGAATTTTAAATACGGACTGTTAGTCGTGATAAATCTAATATTGACTTTGTACTTGGTCAGTATAGGAAATAAAAACCTCGTAAAAGACCTCGGCTTCGCCTCGGTCTTTTACTCGGCTTTTATTTCCTATATTGACCTCGTACTCAAGTCAATATTAGATACTTATTACATGTCAGGTGACCGTTTCCAGGTCTACAGCCAATCAGCGACCAGGTAGAGCGGGAAATATTCCTCCATACAAGCCCGCTCAGGCGGTCCAATATTACACGATATTGCCCAGCATTTGACCCCATACACACTGTACACATACACATACAAGTAGGTGTGCATGTAATACCAGTTGGATACATGTGCCTCGTAGTTTTTCGTAGTACCACTGTACCATGATCCCGAATTCCACGTGTGAAGGCAGTGTACGTTGATGAGTACATCAAATAAGTGAAGTATGCATGTAATAAATGTGTTATTAGCCTCGTAGTACGGGCAATACCGGCTACGATATCTGCCGGTATTGCCCTGATACTCGGCTAATAACACATACGTATTACTTCTGTACTAGCTATATTCCGTCCTGAAGCTGTCTGATACAGTAACCGAGAAACGTTATCCTTTGTTGCATACCTGATGAGGGCAATTATTTTACCGAAACGTTGTAAAAAAATTGATTGAGAAATGAGTTTGAGTTTTGCAGAGTGAATGGGAAGAGAACCAGTCTGCTCTGAAACCTTTTTTTCCATTGTACTAGAATTCCATAATTATTATTGGCGACTTGGTGGCAGTGGCGATTGCTGTCAATGTGTGATGCCAATTTCCTTCCGCCATAGATGCGAGGAAATCTGAGCTGATTTTCGTGGAATACCACTGAAAGCCGGTGTCCGAAATGTAGTGTTGAGTCCGAACAAGAGAGGTCTCTTGCTCATTAACACAACTGACAACGGGAACAGGTAGGTTGGTGGAACGACATATATTAGAGACGGGATGACTAAGACCAGGATGAACGAAACGACTACATGGTGAATATTGAAGAGGGAGATTGTTGAAGAGAGAGAGTTAAAGTGAGAGCAATGCAATATAAAGGGCCTGGGTAGCTATGGCAAACATGGGCGCGCAAGTAGCTACCCAGGCCAAATGAATAATGCATGAACTAATGAATATGAACTACATGTGATTACTTGTGGGCCTAACAGTAGGAATTAGCCAAAAGGAACCCAACACAAACAAACTATAGTGAGGCACAAGCTTCAAGTTAGGAAAGGTGTCCTGTGAGCACTAGCTGTGCAATGGAGGCAGTGGCCCCCCGTGCTTGCTGTGTCGATCCAATCAGGGAGCGTCCGAAACACACTCAACAAGATTTACTTCCTGGAAGAAGGAAGTGTTTGTATTGTGTCTGCGTACGCCCTGCCGGATGTTGCCAACGCTATCAGTAATGGCGAGTTTGCTGAGTGTTAAAATTGACGATCTTGGACATTTTTTATAGGCTAGCGAGTTGAAATTTTGACAAATTCTAGATATCGTAGCAACCCAATATGCAGTCACAGTACATATAGTAAAATCTGTCAAGGCGACCGCTTGGATAAGGTGACCACTTGGATAAGGTGACCACTTGGATAAGGTGACCACTTGGATAAGGTGACCACTTGGATAAGGCGACCACTTGGATAAGGCGACCACCTGTCCTGGAAGACCACAAGAACCAGTACCAACTTGGGGGATACTATTTCGAGTCAATTGACCCTAGATGTATTGTAGATATACAAGTACATGACGTGGATAACAGATGTGTCTGGACATGTGTCTTGCACGCATTGTTCAAGGTAACGTCATCCCGCACCGCTGCACTGCGGCTATAACGTGCAATGTAAAGCACACATAATTGAGCGACCCGGAGGTCCGGGCACGTGGCACAGCCATATACCTTGTTCCAGACATGACCGTCTGCCTGATACAAGAGGAAAGTCGTTATATCCGATGTATTTTCACTGTTTTTTAGGTCTTCGGGCACCCAAAAAGTGTCAGGAAATTCGATCTGTCGTTATTTTTGAGGTCGTTATACCCTATCTATAATGTACAGAAAGGACTTGCTAAACGACTTGGGCAACAGAATTGTGTCGCTAAACTCGATTTGTCGTTGTACCCAAGGTTGTTATATCCAATCTCCACTGTAATATAGACGCATGGTACTTTTGAAATATTTCACCTTTGGCTGGAGCTTCCTGATTTTTTCCGAATATTGCTCAGGTCCTTCCCCCAATTACTCTCATATAGATTTTTTAAAAGCGATCGGATAACAAACGCCCAATTTAGAATTTTTTGTGCACAAAGTGATTGCAGATTTTATGTGGTATAGATGCTGGCCTAACGGTTTTTTGAGATCACGCGTCTATATGTTTTGAAACGCGCTGTAGTGCACTGCACATGCAATGGCTATGCCCCCAAATACACTCAGTGCAGTGTTGATAGATCTACAGTAAATTCAGGCATGCTGCCATGCCAGCATGCAGCACCGCCGTGAACACGTACCAGACCAGTCTATCCATGGCATTGGCATCGGTTTTACGCAGAGCAACTTCAAAATTGAACGGATTATTTGAATCTGTGTGTGTGTGTGTGTGTGTGTGTGTGTTTGTTCGTGTGTGTATGTGTGTGTACGTGTGCACGTGTGTGTGTATGTGTGCACGTGTGTGTGTGTGTGCGCACATGTGTGTGTGTTTGTGTGTGTGTGTACTGTCCGTTCAGATTTGTTGTACACGGTGAGCGATGCAGTGGAGTTTATCGGAGCAGGGCGGATGCAGTACATTCTGCTCTTTGCTATGGCCTTGCATTCGGTGAGTTTGTGACTGGGGCGCGTTGCATGATGGTAATCGCTTGTTCGTGCACTCTGTCTCTTTGTCTCTCTCTGCCTCTTTGTATGTATGTCTGTGTCTGTGTCTTTGTCTCTGTCTCACTCTCAGCTTTCACGCACACTCACTCTCACTCTGACTTTGTCTGGCTGTCTCTCCCACCTTTTCTCCGCCTCTCTCTCTCTCTTTCTCTCTCTCTCCCTCTCGCTCTCTCTCTCTCTCTCTCTCTCTCTCTCTCTCTCTCTCTCTCTCTCTCTCTCTCTCTCTCTCTCTCTCTCTCTCTCTCTCTCTCTCTCTCTCTCTCTCTCTCTCTCTCTCTCTCTCTCTCTCTCTCTCTCTCTCTCTCTCTCTCTCTCTTTCTCTCTCTCTCTCTCTCTCTCTCTCTCTCTCTCTCTCTCTCTCTCTCTCTCTCTCTCTCTCTCTCTCTCACACACACACACACACACACACACACACACACACACACACACACACACACACACACACACACACACACACACTCACTCACTTTGGTTTATCTGTCCTTCTCTGTCTATATGTCTGTCTCCTTTCCTTGTCTCCATGTTTATTTCTGTCTCTGTCCGTCTCTGTGTGTCTCATTGTTTGTCACGTTTTCTCTCTCTCCCTCCATCTCTCTCTTGTTCTGGCCTACAGGGCATGCAAGGAATGGACATCACCTACCTCACTGTTCTGCCATCACTTGCCGGGTGTGATTTCAACCTTTCTAGCGTGCAGAAAGCATTGTTGTCTTCGGTAAGACGACAATCCAACAAAGAAGATAGATTCTTTGTTTTTCGTTCGATTCAGGCTAATTTTGGGTCGCACTCTGATTGCTTTTGGGCCGTAAATAGGTTTCTGACCAGCGTACCTGTACATTCTTCAATGCTAAACCTGGCCAAAATGTGTTTGCGCAACCATGCCTGTATACTTATCAATTGTAAACCCGACCGAAACTGGTTTTGGGGCAGCATACCTGTGAAATTAATCAATGCTAAGCCTGGCCAATAAAAGCGAATGGCCTGCTTGTTTTTTCATTACAGTCAACTTCGCTTATAACGACACTCGGCGGGGCATCAAACAGGTGTCCCTATTCGCGAAGTGTCGGTATACCCGAAGTCTCATTGTATGTGATACAGTGGGATAGAACTTTGCTCTGGGCATGGAAAGTCTGTCGTTATTCGCGAATTGTCGTTATATCCGCAGTCGTTATTAGCGAAGTTGAGTGTATATATGTTGCTGAAACCCCTTCCCAGTACGTGACAAACTCGTTTTGAAACTGTTTACGAGTGTCGTGTACAACCATAACGAGTAAGAAACGAGTAATTGGCATTCGTATTTCACCGGGGAAATTCACGCTGTAATGGTACGTTCCCAGCCAGTTTTAGCAAGTACATGTAGTGTGGAGTAGTAAAATTCGGACTCTCTGACGGAAACCCACTTACCGTATGCGGGTCATCAGCATGACCATGGCCAATAAGCAGACTGTGCACACGCTGGTCTTAGCTGTACATAGTACGAAAAGTACTTGGAACAAGTGGTGTGATTTTTCGCCGTCGAAGACCCATACCAGTGTTGCACACTTTTGGAAGTAAATTCATTATTTTTTTGTGTCTACAGCTGGTGAGGAGTCGACATGAGATTCTGACTATTTTGTTCGCGTTTTTTCTTCTCTGCTCAAGGTGTTCTTCATCGGTGTAACGTGTGGATCTTTCAGTGTCGGCTTCATGGGCGATCGTTTTGGAAGAAATCGGGTAAGAGACCGGCGTATATTGTTGGGAAGTTGTTATTCTTGTTGCACTGTACATTCCACGTTATCCGTACCTGCGTTTCAAGCACAGTGGAAAATTTAGAATTTGTTTACCGCGCAGGACAGCCGGAAGCCGTTTTTGATTGGTCGGCCGACGTGTAGCCTTGCCTACGTTGTGCATGGTATGGTGGATCCAGATGACCTCCTCAGCGGTAACCACTTTTTGTTGGCCGAATGTTAGTCTGGCCATTGCCTGAGCAAGCGGGCCAGTTTCACCGGGCCTGCCATGAGAACGGGAAAGTGTATGTCTTATCCTAATATCAGGACCGGTGGAAGCAGTTTTTGATTGGTCCGGCCATACCCTAGTCTTTTATACTAGTTGTGTATGATATGGAGGGTATACACATGACCTCTGAGCTCTGCTGACAAGACCTAATATGGTTGAAACAGCTAGCTTTCAGGGTATTGTGTACCTAATATGGTTGAAACAGCTAGCTTTCAGGAGATTTTGTACCGAATATTTTTGAAACAGCTAGCTTTCAGGAGACTGTGTACCTAATATGGTTGAAACAGCTAGCTTGCAGGAGATTGTGTACCTAATATGGTTGAAACAGCTAGCTTTCAGGAGATTGTGTACCTAATATGGTTGAAACAGCTAGCTTTCAGGAGATTGTGTACTCGAGTCTATGCAGGACCGGCGTAAGCAGTTTTTGATTGGTCCGGCCATACCCAACTTGTTCTCACTTTGTTTAGAAACAGCTACGCCGGCATACACATGACCTCCTCAGCACTAAACACATGTTGCTCGCCAAAAAGTTGGTCCGGTCATGGCCTGACCAAGCAGACCGGTTTCACCGTGCCTGCCATGGGAACGGGAATGTGTACCTAGTATCCGAAGTACTGCTTATCCTAATATACTTCACTATGGGGCAGTGAACCTGTGTCCTGGATAGTCAATAAAACTGTGAACGGTACCATTCGGCTGTTGAATAACACAACAAACTCTCCTCCTCCATGCGCTCTAAAGCAGACCATTGCTACCCTCGGTAGCCATTACTCACGCCAATAATTTCTACCAACAAAGTGGTTAGAGGTAAAATGTAAAATGGTCGGCTTTAGGGCCCGGTAGGCCTTGGTGGATAATGCCGGCAGAAAAATTGGCAGAATTCGGTACTTTTTCTGGTAAGTTTCATGCATGTTTGGTATGTGGATAAAGAAATGGAGAAGAATTCGAGGAACTGCACGCCATAAGGTTTGTATGGTTCTGCCAATTTCACTGCTTTTCGAGCAGAATCTGCCACCTTTCCGAGCATTATCCGCCAGGGCCTAGGGCCCGGTCAGACTGCGGCAAAAACTAAATAATCCTGTGATTATAATCCGAATCTCCATAGTAACTTGCCGCCAGAGCGGCAAAATCGAGAGTCGACGCTCCTAAAAAACAGGAGTTTGACGCTGATGCGCCATTGACGCTGATATTCACTGATTTTTTCATTTCGATATCGAGGAGCTAATTGGCCACGGACAACAACGAAACTCATAAGGATGGTTGCAAGGATTGCACTGAAGGTGTTGGAGATCCCTGAGGTGAAGGAATATGATGTTGTTCGTGGAGATTACCACTTGACGGTCGAAATGAAATTTGAATTTTCATTCTCCCCACATTTGTAGTGTGATCGCGATTCTAATCCTGGACGCTCTTCTTTTTTCGTCAGGCACCGAAACTTTGCCGCAGTCTGACTTGGCCCTAATGGGTGATTCAGACTACGGCCAAAATCACGTCTGAACTTGAATTTCCATGGTGATGCCTTTGTGTTTCAAAATTTTATGCACAATCGCTGATCAAACCCATCTGAGTCGTAGAAACGTGGCCACATTCGGCCGTAGTCTGAATCGCCTATAAGAGAGGAGAGTTAGTTTTTTGTATTGTCCTGGATAATGTCTGTACTAAGCTAGTTTATGTACTATCAGAGTTTGTATTAGGTGAGTTCCACGCCATGTCTAAGTAAGACCTGTGCGCTGTCTGTGTAATTCTGCCCCCCCCCCCCCCCCCCCCCGTCGAATCCCTCTCTCGATTCCTCTATCAATTCTTCTTTTCTCGTCACCAGGATGAGGCACTCTTTTCTGTCGGTGTAATTCTATGCAGGCCTGGTTGAATAAGCATTGCTCACTGCAATAGCGTGGACTGTCTCTCCTTTTTGTTTTGAGTTCTGGGCCTGGCTTAATATCTATCACTTTTTGCGACAGCATGGACTCTCCTTCCATTCTGTGTGTGTGGTTTGACTGGCTCGCTAAATAGGCTTGTGGCAACTGTGTGGATTATCGTTCCTTTCTGTGTCTGTCATGCGACTGGCTGACTGACTGAACAGACATTGTCATGAATTACACGTTGAAACTACATGGACTATCTCCCCTTCGCTTTGTATTGTGTGACTTGCTGACTTGCTGAGCAGGCACTGTGGATTGCCACGGCCTGGACTATCTACATCAGTTACCTGTCCATTCTCTCCTATAACTACACTTGGCTCTTGATATTTCGATTCCTGGTTGGCGTGGGAATCGGTGGATTTTCTCTCAGGTATGGGCCCTGTACTCTGGTGGTGGAACTGATCTACCGTATTTTCCGAAACATAAGCTGCACTTTAAACCAATAACCTACGTGGGGATAATAATTTTAATATAGCTATGAATAGGATGAAGGGCGCATACATCACGTAACTACGTTACTTGCTCGACGTGTATGTGTATTTGATAACAATAATATTATTGAAACCCAGAATCGATTTTCTCGGTCCTATCATCAGTGCACTTGAAACACTCATAATTCCCCCCCCCCCCCCAAAAATGTCATTGCGCCTTATGCTACGATGGTAAAGTGAACGTTTTAAGCAGCTGGTCACTAACTATCTGCCTGCAGTTCGGATCTAGTCTAGATAGTCGCCGGAATGGTAGAATGTTAGAACGTGCGAGGCTGGAAGCAAAGATATTGGTATACATGTACCAGGGTATTTGGTTCTTTTCTTTTTTTCGTATAATACCACTTGTGCAGTGTACCTGTAGTGCAGGTTAGTACGAGCATTGAATACGAATTCAAAAGGGGTCGCAATCCTGAAAACATACACCTCAGACCTCAGGCCCGCCCATCGCGGAAGCGATGATAGCGAACAGCTATGATAGACATAGCAACTTGTGCTTGGATTACACCATTCAACAGTTTGCAAGGCTGATGAATTGACCGCCACTAATTTTAGCCTGGTATCCACCACACAGCTGATCGAAGTGGCTTTTTCTGGCCAGTGAATCCCTATTTTTTTCATTTTTCATTTTTTTATTTTTTATACACGTACACGGTCACCGCGTGGTACGGACCGCCCTCAAAGAATGGAGAACTGAAGAGCAAGCAGGCTAGAACTTCACCGAGCATGGCACTACTGATGCATTGTCTGTAGACGGTGAATCCACTATACGTGCAGGCGCGTAGCACATGAACATAAGACAGGCCTAGGCTACGAAGCTGGCCCGCACGCTCAAACCCAGTGTTCTTCGGCGCAGCCAGTACTGTAGCCAGGAACGGGGATCCCGTTCTTCGCCACCCGGTATTACTGTACACTGTGTAGTGTATAGAAGTGAGGTTTGTCTGTGCTTGATCTTCCTTGCCTGTATGTAGGAACGCGTTGATGTTTGAGTTTCTGCCGACGTCATTTCGCGTAAAAAGTGCCTTCTTGATTTTGGTACGTGATGAAGCATAACTTTGATCTTTCTTTGATTTGGAGCGGAAATTGGTGCAATCTGTCGAATGTTGTTCTCTTTCACGTTGTGTGTGTGTGTGTGTGTGTGTGTGTGTGTGTGTGTGTGTGTGTGTGTGTGTGTGTCTGTGGATGCATGCATGCATGTGCGCATATGTCCGTAAGTGTGTGTGTGTGTGCGTGCGTGTGTGTGTGTGTGTGTGTGTGTGTGTGTGTGCGTGTGTGTGCACGTGCGTGTATGCGAATATGCGTGCATGTGTGTGTGTGTGTGTGTGTGTGTGTGTGTGTGTGTGTGTGTGTGTGTGTGTGTGTGTGTGTGTGTGTGTGTGTGTGTGTGTGTGTGTGTGTGTGTGTGTGCACGTGAGCGTGCGTATGTGTGCGTGTGTCAGCCAGGGTCCTTGTGCTCACCTTGGTAGTGCTGACACAAATCTGGTTACCAGGCTCCGTGTCGGTGTATCCCCCCCCCCCGCCAAATAATTCTACATCTCTGTCTCTACTGTACGCTCGTAGAGAAAGCTAGTTTTTTGGTACTGTTTTCTCTCTGCCATCTCTCATTGCCAAACATAATACAATGTAGGCGTTTTGTTTGAACTTTTTTTGTTGTTGTTGTTCTTGCCGTCTCTTTCTTTGATAGATTTCTTGGTCTGCGGGCACGTTGGTGGAGATGCCAATCTTGATCATTCCCGGCTTGGGATGGAAGTACCTGATGGCGATAAATCACACGCCGCACTTCATCGTCATAGCGATACTCCTCTATGTGAGTAGATCTAGTCTGCGGGGCTGTGTGGAAAAGTGACGCGATAGGATTTCACTGGGCATCACTATTGTATGGGCATGTTTGTGTTTGGTCGTAGCTTCCGGAATCACCGCGGTTCTTGCTGAAGCACGGATTCCACCGAGAGGCTAAAGAATGCCTGCGACGAATGGCCGAAGTGAACGGAGCGAGGCTGCCCGTCGGCGAGCTGGTGTCGGAGGAAGAAAAGGACGAGGCCGTACGCCAGGGAAACGTCTTTGCTAACCAGGAGGTATGTGGATGCATGCACGGGCATGCTGGCCCATGTTCTTGATTGGGCGTGTTGGCCTGTGTACTTGTGTGCAGGGGGTTTCTACAATTACGGTATGTGTGACAGCAAGAGTACGTGAAAACTAGGGTGTGCAGCTCGGATGGGTTGCTGTCACGGCGGAATTCCGTGATTACATCATTTTCGTGATGTAGTGCGTACAAGCAGGATTCAAGCAGGTCTCTTTCCGCCCCACTGCAGCTCAGTTGTACGCACTACGCCACTTCCCGCCTCAGATCTGCGCCAATTATGATGTAATCACGGAATTTCGCCGTGACAGACACCCGTAGCAGGAAAGGCCCCAAGCTGCACACTCTGGTTTTCATGTACTCTTGGTGACTGATATGCACGTACAATGCAACTCCCATAGTATGTACTCGGATAGGACACACCGTTGCTTAGCACTGACATCAGGGCCATTTCAGGGGGGGGGGCATTTCAGGGGGGGGGGCATTTCAGGGGGGGGGGGGCATTTCAGGTCATGCTGACTGTGTGTGTGTGTGTGTGTGTAATCCCAGCACAAGTTGCTATGTCTAACATAGCTGTTCGCTATCATCGCTTCCGCGATGGGCAGGTCTGAGGTGTGTGTGTGTGTGTGTGTGTGTGTGTGTGTGTGTGTGTGTGTGTGTGTGCATGTGTGTGTGTGCGCGCTTCGTTTGCAGAAACGTGTGAAGTATCACGATTCCTTCTTCGGCCTCTACCAGACCAAAGTGCTACGAACTACGACAGTCATGTTGAACCTCATCTGGTGAGTTTGCAGCCATGAGAGAGAGAGAGAGAGAGAGAGAGAGAGAGAGAGAGAGAGAGAGAGAGAGAGAGAGAGAGAGAGAGAGAGAGAGAGAGAGAGAGACCTCCGCCTGCAGTCAGGCCTCGTTTTCCTTTCCTCTTTTTCTGACTCCCTTGGACAAAAGAATAAAATACCGTTTGCATTAGACACAGCTAGACTCAGCTTTCTGCATCAGCAGGAGCACCACCATCCTCTAGCATAAGTGCACAGATGCAGCTCCTAAAGCACTCCCTTGCCAAACTGTGCAAAATCGGCTGGAGCGGGTTTGCAGACAACGCTGATTCCCTCTGCAAATACTGATTCTTTCACACAGGTCAAGTACTGTACAAGCAGAGATATTCGTCTAGAATTTAATTTCGTCTTTTTCACCCGAGGAGCTTTTGGACTAAATTAAATGCCGGACGAATGTCGATTTGTCCAGCTTTTCTATACACTCTTATCGGTTAATCAGTTGTCTGGAACAAGCTTCCTGAGAGCCTACGCAGGGAGCGATCTTCTGCTAAGTTTCGGTTTCTCCTGAAGGACCATTATTTAACGTACAAATTCTCCACCACTGGAATTCCTGATTTTCGTATCTAGCTCTCGTCATGTATTCTGTTTCTCCCTGGTGGTTTTACCTGTAGTTTTCCCTGAGCAGTGTTTATGCTAAGTACTATTTTCCCTTCTCCCTTTTCACTTCCCTTTCGTCTCATCCACCCTTCCAGGAAACTCCCCCGATAAGTATCCATTTACTTTTGGAGAATCCTTCAAATAAAGTCTAAATGAATGAAAAAAATCCATGGACGAAATTTAAAACCGGGCGAACTCCCTTTCTTTGGAGTTGGACAAAATCATTGACCGGCGAAATTTTCTACCTGTACAGTAAAGGTCACGGTGTCTCCCCAGATGTACTGTAATGCGAGGTGAAGTCCGACCCGAAATGGACATTTGGAGTCTTGGATTTACACACGGCCTTTCCCACCCTGGAAGCGGTACGAATTAGTGCTGCTGGACGTGCACATGTGCAGACACAGTGATGTTACTGCTAGTACATGGCACCAGCTTTGAACATTGAGTCGTATTTTCAAATCGCACGACTGCAGTTTTGTCTTTCCAGGGGTTCCTCTCCACTCAGAAAGCACAACTTGGCCATTGCTAATGAGAGCTACCAGTTACTATGGTGGCCTAGTCATGTTAGCCATCATACGGTTACTCTTCTATTGTCTGGTTCAGGGCCGTAGCATCGGCATTCCTATCCAGGTGCTCCGTCCGAACGGGACTCTTGACTGGTAATGAGCATGATAAACAAAAAAACGCCTTTTGCTCGAATCAGGTGGGCCAACTTTTTTTTCGAAATCAGGTCTGATCATGGCCAGACCAGCCGGACCGGGTATCTACGGCCCTGTGATGATTGGCCAAGTGCCCTGGAACTCTGAGAAACAAACAAATCAAGCTTCCCATCACTGTCAACATGTGCTCACCGTATTTTCCCGAGGATAAGCCGCACTCAGATTGTTTGTCACGAAATAACTACAGACAGTCCCCTGTACATAGCAGGGGATGTGGCTATGTACTAAGCTCTGTCTCTGACATTGAGCACTCTCTGCAGCTCAGGGGATGAACGGACTTGACAGTCCCCTGTAAATCACCGTTCATTTGACCATCGTAGCAAAAGCCGCACTGACTTTTTTTGCGGTGAATTACGAGCGTTCAAAGTGCGGCTTATACTCCGGAGAATCTAGTATGTTTCCCGCCATTGTCAGCTTGTGCTTACTCTCTCTCTCCTCCGTACTGCTCCGTTCTGTCTTGCTATGCATCGGGGTGAGGGGATGAGTCTCACAACCACTGGTACAAGTGCCGGAAAACCCCATTAGCCACAACCGTTATGAGCTGCATCTGACGCTAGGGTTCCCTTCGGGACCGCACACGATAACTTGATTTCTTTTTTTGTATGCGTCCAGGTTCTCGTTATTCTTCGCCGAGTACGGTATGTACTTCTTCTCGACCGAGATGCTCAAGAACCTGCATCGGCACGACGACGGCGCGCCGCTCGAACCCCCGACCACCGTCATCAACGTGACGGCCGAGTTCCTCAGCAACATGTCTCTGTCCACGGCCAAGACGATTCTCGCCACCGGCTTCGGCGTGCCCATGCTTAACGTCACCATGTCTGCGGCGACGACGGCGGCGGCAGATGCCATGTCGTTGCTAGGCGACGGTGTGCAGTCTTTCTCCGTGTCGCCGTCGCCGTCCGCAGCGACGCTACTCATGCAAAACGCTACGGACGCGCTATTGAACGGCACTGCAGAAGTGGTTGGAGAAGGTACGTACTGACTGAGACTTGCATACAAGAACCACGGTTATAATTATCTAACCCAATACTCAGAAGTTGCGACGGACTCGGCCATTTGAAATAATTTGATACTGTCCACCTCTCCACACTGCGCTCTTGGCCCACATTCACCACACCATAGTGAGGAAATTCGTTCTCGGATAGAACATGTATCCACGAACTTCCTCGTTATGGCGTGGTGAATGTGGGCCAAGAGCGCAGTGTGGAGAGGTGGACAGTTTTGAATATTGGTAACTAAACACTGGGATGGAGAGCTAAGGATTAATTATAATAAATAAAAGGACGGGAGCTGATTGTCAAGTACTGTAAAGAGAGAAATTTTCGCTAGAGATTATATTTCGCTATTTTCGCGGCCATCACACATTCGCAATATAAATCGTCGCCCACTGCTCTGTACATTGACTGTAGACAGTACAAGATCCGACTGAAGAGATAAAATCGCAAAAGTTTCTCGTCGTGAACGAGTACAATTCTTGAAAACGCGAACTTTGCGCGCCGCAAAAATTTATCGCTTTACAGTAACTGACGGTGTTAGTGGGCCACGGCTGTTCGTACGCGGCCATCTAACAATATGGCGGCGATTTTTGTCGAAAATCGCGTTGTTTATGCGATTTTACACAGGAAATTGCCAATACCAGTGGAATTATTAGAAAACAGAGGGAATAATGATAAAAACATACGGCAAAGCAGGTAAAACCCAAATAGATCAAAGCAGCGCGAGCTGGAAACTTCAAGTCAGTTGTTGTTCGTTCAAACAACAAAGCTTTCTTCAAGAAGTTCTTGTTCAGTTCTTTGTTGAGTATTGACGGTGCATCGCGATCTCGATGACGAGGCAAGTGGTCAAGTAGCTGTGTGCCTGTAGAGCAGAAAGATGAAGAAAGCAAACAGTAGGTAGAGAGACTGCTCACCCGAGTACATTCCTATGAAGAGTTGCGCCGCAGAAAAAGAAATCCACTCGAGTTCAGGAGAGAGAGAGCAAATAAAGTTGGTTACTCACGATACTTGCCAGAGATCATGTCGACTGGCGACGTTTTGTAGTGGGACGGTGAATGGCTTGAGGCAAGGTTCGGGACAGATGCTGCTCAGCCATAGCTTTCAGCCTCTGCAGAAGAGCAGGAATCTGGCGGTATCTTCGCTCAAGAGTGTTAAACTCTGCATGGATGCTCTCTGCTCCTTGCTCGGCCAGCAAACCGAGCCCTACTCCGAGCCTCTCCATTGCCGGAGCGGTGTGGCTCTCCAGAAGATGAAGCTTCGGCGTTATGTGGCCAAGCCCTCGATCGACCACCTCCTTCCGTGCTGACTTGAGGAAGGTCCTGATGTTGGATTCCAGCTCTTCAACCTCTGCTCGTGTGACCTGGAATAAACAGCACATATTAAATATCAGCTCTGGATCAAATATTCATAATCAAATTCAAAGTACCTGCATCGAAAGTGGAATCATGTGGATAATGGAATTTGATGGCTTGGAACAGACGAAAAAGCTCCCAGGGAATAAATAGTTATATTGAGTTATGTTTACCTTCCTGCAATGGCCAAAGGCAGAAGTACACTTCCTGTACTCGTCCAGCAGCTTCATGTAACGCAACTGGACAACGCTGGCATCATCCATCAGGTCGGGACAGCGTTCCTGAATGACTGAGATGGGAGCAGCAGCAATCGACTGCAGGACAGCGGGCTGAAGTGCGCGGTGCACGTGGTTACCGAGAAATGCACCTCCGTGCGTGGTACACCTGGCGCTTGATGTTGTGGGATTGCAGCACAGGTTCGACTGCCGATTCACAAGGCCCACATATGTCTTTTTCAGCAGTTGCGGCAAGTATCTGCTGCGAGATGCCCTCCTTTGCCTTTGTCATCTCCACCACTGTGTTATTGGCCTTCTGCCACTCCGCTCTGATCTGCTCACACACGAACTCTAAGTTACCGCCAGTAACACCTTGGTTGTGGGCATGCAGTGCTACGTAGTTCAGCTGCTGCTGGTAACCAGAGGCCTGTTCCGACGCTGCTGCTATCTGCTCTTCTGCGTCGTGATGGTCGCGATAGAGGCCAGATAGCCGTCCGAAAGCGTCGCTATCTCCAGCAGCAGACTGGGCCTTGCTGGCCAAGAGCTTGTCCAGCTCACGCAGATCCTTCAGCATTGCATCGAACATCCAGGCAAATATGCCCAAGTCCAGGTGGAGGACTGGCACGATGACGTTGGGTAGTGGCACAGGAAGGATTGCCGGACGAATGACGTTGTTGTGTAACTTGGCGTTTGGTAATCTCTCCCCGTCTGCGATGAATTCCAGCAGGTTGCTACTGAGGGTGGCCAGGGAGCGGGGTACACTGTCCTCAGGCTCTCTCTGCAGTACTGGCGTCTCCATAGATTTCTTCTTGCAGTGGCAATGTAAGCACGGACGTAGGCCACTTGGTCCCGACAACCCGTACATACTACACTGAAACTCGTAGTCTCCGAAGATGAAGAGGACGAGCCGCTTCCCCTCCCATTTGCCATGTGAGATAAGGTGCAAGACCTCATCGCGGTACATACCAAGTGCAGTTTCCAGATTCGCTGGCGTGTCCTTTGCGTGGAATACACACAGCGGTACGGTGTTGTCCGGCGAGTTGGGGTGCTGCAGGTTGGCTACTTGCATGGAGAACTTGAACGAGTCACCGCCATGGTCCCCGCCCAGCTTTATCCAAACCTCGCTCTCCGGTATTGCACCATCGTGCCATGTCAGTAGCCCACGATCCTTGTATAGCTGGAGGTAGTGGTTGATGACTACCTCCAAGCTGGGCATGTACACCACCGGTGCCAGCGCGATCTGCTTTTTCACCACCATTGGCACGTCCTTGGCCGTGTAGGGTGGAAGGGCTGCTGCTAGTGTTGTTCGCATCTTGCGTTCTGACTCGAACTTCACTCCACACTGCTTAAGCCATTGCCGCAGCTTCCTGAGTTGATTCCACGGGAGCATGAGGTCGGCTTTGATGGCCAAGCCAATTCCAGCCTCGGGCGAATGTGGTGCCAACCCAGCCTCTCTGAGGAGATCCATCTGCTCGTCGCTGCTCATCCTGCAAAGAATTGCTACAGTCTGGGCACTGGCGCCGGGACTTCCACCACATACAGACTCAGTGAGCGACCTCAGTTCTGCTGTTCGCCGTCTCTTCGTACGTTCACTGGCTGCCTCGGAGGATGTGTCAGCGAATGTAAGCCTTTGATATACCTGCGGTCTGCCACGCTCACTTTGCTTCACCTCCAGCTTCCCTGAGTCAGAACGAGCGGAAACCAGGTGGCCAAGCAGCCTGTCAGCAGTATCACCGCGGAGCTTGGATGGTGATGCGTCCAGGACTTGAGCGATTGTAGCCGATTTGGTGACCGGACGTGTCAGTCCTTGCTGGGTTAGTGGTGTAGACACCTGCAACGACGCCAATAAACAAGTAGAAACACCACACTGTTGACTACTGTGGTTGGCAAGGAATTTTGCCACATGCAGCTCCATTTTGCTCTATCATTCCCTTTCTTTATATTCAGTCCATTGCGAAGCTCATTTCTTTTCTGTAATATCTCCACTATCTAATCTGACAATTGCTGTTTTAGTTTTAAGACCTGGTTGGATTGGATACACAGACTGCTCTATAACAGAGATACGCACCTGTGTGGATACTGATGCGCGTGCGTCGATAGATATCTCGGGCTCATGTGGTGCTGGCAGCTGCTGCTGTGAGGTACTGCTTGCCGTGGCCGTTTCAAAGATCTGCACAGATTTAATAGTAGTGTACACAGTTGTGTTTCATGGAATGCTGCACCATACTACTGCTGAGAATGGTTATCTGCATGCGTAGGACTTGACTGAATTCACTTCTTTTGTATAGGTGCCTACAAGCATTGATTTTGATGTATGTCTGCTGCCGTTGAACACTGTGTTGTGTGTGTTCGTGTTTGCATGTGCGTGCTTGCATGTGTGTGTGTGTGTGTGTGTGTGTGTGCACGCATGTGTGTGTGTGTGTGCGCGCATGTGTGTTCATTCCCAATTTTGTTTCATCAATTTCTGCTTGTATACCTGAGTGTCTGCTGTTGTTTCACCGACAACGGTTGTACTGGGCGTAGCCGATACGGACTGCTGCGCACAGGGAGCTGGTGTGGCTGCTGTTGTGTTCTGTGATTGTGATACAGACTGTCCGGCACTGGTAGTCTGTTCAGCTGTAGCTGCACCACGCGTTAATGATGCCGGCTGTTCGACGGTGCGAGTCTCGATCCCCGCGGCTGGGGCTGGGACCTGTTATGAAGACAGAGAATTAATATAAAAAGGATTACATCCATGATTAGGCTCTGACATGTTGCTTTTTGCACATCCAAATTTGACCACACTTACCTGCGTTGGTACTGCCGTAGCCTGGCTGGTTCCCGTGTCTGGTAAGGCTCCGCCGCGCAATTTGGTCTTTTTCTTCGGCGGCCTTCCACCCTTTGAGCGTTGTTGATACAACTTACAGACAGTGCAACCAGCACGTTTGTGACCTTCCCATGTGACTGGTGACCCACAACCACCTCCACAATGCTGTGTGCCAGATGCATTCCTTGCCAGCGCACGTTGGCATAGCGAACATATGTATTTAGGGTGTGTATCAGGTTTGTCTGTTGTGATCTCGATCTGGTGAACTTGTTTTAATTGCTGTTTATATTGCTGAGTGCTATAGCGTACGCTGTGGCCTAGATTAGTGAACTTGGCACCACCAACACGACATACTGAGTCCAAAATGGACAAATGTTCGTCCATGACTGCCCACTAAAGATATCGCACGGGACCAAGTTCCGCTGCGTGGGACTCAACAAGTCATGAACAAAGGGGCTAAAAAAGGCCAGGAGCAGCCTACAAAACTGCCCAGCAGGCTCAGAAAACTCCACGAAGGTCTACAGAGACGTCGGTATTGTAGACAATCACAACATCTTCGTGGAACTACATTTCCGCCATGCGCGACCTCAAGAAAGACGGAACACTTTCGGATTTTCTCGAGTGCGATGTCAGGAAGAAGGCCGTTCTTTCTCCTCGCCCAAACACCAATTTTTTCTGCGGGAAAGTTACGATTAACGCTGAAAACGGGTCTGAAAGCAATCGAAATACTCTAAAACGATGCTATTTTTCAGGTACGACGGACGTACCAGATTTGAAAATTCAAATTTCTGGACGCCATTTTGGATGGCCACTGATCGCATGCACGGGACAGCCGTGGGGCATGGGAGGGGTTCTGGGGTACGCCTTCAGGCTTTCCATGCCAAAATCTGTATGGTCTCTCTCTTTCTCTTTCTCTCTGTCCCTTTCTCTCTCTCTCTCTTTCTCTCTCTCTCTCTCTCTCTCTCTCTCTCTCTCTCTCTCTCTCTCTCTCTCCCTGTGTTTTCTGCAGCCTGTATTCCGTTGACAGGGAGCGATTACCTGTCTCTATTTACCACCTTCATGGGATCTTTTCCAGGTACAGTGTAGCGTGCTGTGTGGTAGTCCCACTGAACTGTATCTAATAATGTGTATGATTCATGATTGTAATGTATGTTTGGTCTCAGTGATTGATAAGCCTTCAGTAAACTAGAAGCATAGGACATGTACTCTGTTCTTGCTGTACGCATCCTCCCCATACTCGTCATGTCCGGAGTAGTGCCACGTGTTGGACCAGTGACGTAGGTCTCATGTAAGACTTGTTTTAGCTACATTGTACATATCTGCGCATGCTTGCACAAGGTCGAGGAGATCGAGAGAGAGAGAGAGAGAGAGAGAGAGAGAGAGAGAGAGAGAGAGAGAGAGAGAGAGAGAGAGAGAGAGAGAGAGAGAGAGAGAGAGAGAGAGAGAGAGAGAGAGAGAGAGAGAGAGAGAGAGAGAGAGAGAGCCCGAGAATGGCGGCCAGATCCATATTGTCCTGATTATATATTATCCAGAATCCTTTCCTTGTATTTATTCTTACTGTATGTATTGACTATCCTTTTGCTTGATTGAACCGTGTTGGCTGGTGTGATTGACGAGTTGAGTAAAACATGCTGTGCGGCAAATGTTGCAGTAACTCTTTAGAATGTGAATTTTAGAATGTGAATTTTTACAATAATTTAATTGGCTCACCATTCGAGTTAAAGGGGAAGTATACCCTAAAATCAAATTTTCACCAGTTGTAGTCTTCGGGGTGCTGAGTCGAATGGTCTTGGTCCGAGGAAGCTGAGACGCTCCCTTCCTCCTTTATTCCCAATCGAACTCGCGCACTTCCACCGAAACTGGGTGACTGCGCCCTACTAGATGGGGATTTGTATGCAAAATGTCACTAAAAGCGCCATTTCGTTCTTATAAAAGCACGGATGACCGCGATTGGCCCATATGTTGTAGTCTTTTGGACGCTGAGTCGACTGGTTTTGGTCCGAAAAGGCTGCGATGTAGCGTTCTTCCTTTATTCCCAATCGAACATGGTTGAACAAGCGGTCACGTGCTCCTGCGTACACCAGTCACCTGGTCACCGTGCCTGCAGGGTACAACTTACTAGCCTGTTTGACCTTTTTTGGGTGCAGTCCTGTCACTCGAGTTGAACCTTGGTGTGAAAGTTGTCGCCTGCTGGCGCGGTGACCAGGTGATTTGGGCACCCAGGAGCACGTGACCGCTTGTTCAACCATGTTCGATTGGGAATAAAGGAGGAACGCTGCATCGTAGCCTTTTCGGACCAAAACCAGTCGACTCAGCGTCCAAAAGACTACAACATATGGGCCAATCGCGGTCATCTGTGCTTTTATAAGAACGAAATGGCGCTTTTAGTGACATTTTGCATACAAATCCCCATCTAGTAGGGCGCAGTCACCCAGTTTCGGTGGAAGTGCGCGAGTTCGATTGGGATTCAAGTAGGAAGAGAGCGTCTCAGCTTCCTCGGACCAAGACCATTCGACTCAGCACCCAGAAGACTACAACTGGTGAAAATTTGATTTTAGGGTATACTTCCCCTTTAAATATTTACAAAAGGTCAAGAAGTTTTTTCTTTCTCGAGAAAGTTACTCTAAGTTTGAAGAGTTTTCTGTGCTTTGTTCACATTCAGTACAGCTACCGTAAAATTCCGTAAATAAGCCCCGGGCGTATACTTTGCAGAGCGTCAAAAACCGGGCCTATATTTGGGCATGGGCTTATTTTAGGGCATGGGCGTTATTTCGGATGCAATCTGTAGAAGATCAATCTATCAGCAACCCTCTAGTTTCAGTGAACCACCATTCATACTGAGTAGTAGTAGTAGTAGTAGTAGTAGTATTTATTATTTTGTTAGGGAAATCCCTACACACGTTGCCGTCTTTTTACAGGGAACCCTAAGTGCTCTTTGCAGAGCGAAATGAAAGCGGATGGTTGATCAGCTTGGCGACACAACATGAGCGCGGTACAGGTATATCAAACCACAGCTGGAAATTTGGTCGTAACCAAGAATGTAGCGATAAATTACAGATTTGATAGGTAAACCACTTGCTATGGTTTTAAGGCACAACACTTTACGCCCTGGGCTTATTTCGGGCATGGGCGCTAAAACGGACTTGTATGTGTATATGTGTGTGTTTGTGTGCGTGTGTCATCCCCCTGCAGGAATTATCATATTCTTCTGGATCATGGACCTGGTTGGTCGGCGAACGGCGCTGGCCTTGAACAGCTTTGCGGCATGCGCGTTCATAGCGGGGCTGATGGTGCCCAACCTCACACGCCTGTCGCTGACCATCATTCTGTCGTGCTTGCGTGCCGTGCTCACAGCCGCCTTCAAGGTCTTGCTCGTCTATACGCCAGAGGTAAGCTGAGTGGTGCGATCGAGATCGAATTGAATAGAGTGAGAGTCTCTCAATCCGAAGTTCTTAGACCAAAGAACTCCCGTCTACCGCTCACTCATATGCCCCCCCCCCCCCCCTTGAGGCAGAGAAAACAGATTTCCCCATTGCAACGATAATACCACGTCAAAATCAGTGTGGATGTGTGCGTGTACGTGTGTATTGTGTGCGTGTGTGTGGGGGGGGGGGGAGTATGTACCTGTCCGTGTGTGCACGCGTGCATGCGTGTGAATGCGTTCTTGTCCATAATATCGCTATGTACAGGTCTATCCGACAATGATACGCAGTCGTGGTGTCGGTTTCAACATCGCACTGGGTCGGTTTGGGGCAGTGCTCACACCGTTCGTAGCTGAGGTATGAGTGATGTATGTAGCGATAATTTTGCCGGTACAGTAAAACCTGGTTTAAGCGACCACCCCACGGTGCAAGCAAAAACGGTCGTTAAAGCCAGGTGGTCTTTATACCCAGGTCCCACAGTGTCCGTGTAGAATTGTCGGTGCATGGAAAAACGGTCGTTTAGAGCAGGTGGTCGCTAAACCCGGAGGTCACCTACACCAGGTTTTACTGTATTTCCCGTATCTGGGCAGTCTGGGACCGGGCACTGTCTTTAGCTTTCCAGTACCGATGTGCGTAACTTTGAATCACATTATGTGTTAATGGAGAAGGGCCAGAGATCTGGAAATGGCATTGCTTTTTGCGCAAACATTGGAAAAAAATAGCGTAGCAATATTCCATTGAAACTCACTCAAACAGAGGTGCCCGTAACTTCGAGGTCCGAGGAAGAGAGCTATGTTTGTGCTGTTTCTGAAATGCACAGAGTGCTTGGTGCTGTGTGCCAGTGTGCGCGCATGCGCATGCGTATGTGTGTGTGTGTGTGTGTGTGTGTGTGTGTGTGTGTGTGTGTGTGTGTGTGTGTGTGTGTGTGTGTGTGTGTGTGCGTGTGTGCGTGCGTGTGTTTTAAATTTTATTTGTATCCGTGTATGTTTGTTGAACTTTGTTCTTATGCGCACTGGTGCATGTGTGTTCCTCTGTCCTTGCCTGTACAGGTTCTACTCAAGAAATCCATGCTTGCTGGAGAGTTTGTGTACCTTGCTACCTGTGCCTTGGCTGGCGCTCTTGGACTACTATTGCCAATAGAGACGAAGGGGAAGCCCCTCCCGGTAAGGACAGCATGCTAGTATGTTGCGAGTGAGCCGGTGTGAAACTGTATGGGTGCATGCATGTGTGTGTGTGTCGTGCCTGACGCTTAGAGCAGTACATCTGCAGATCTGCATGGTAGCGTACATGTGTGTGTGTGTGTGTGTGTGTGTGTGTGTGTGTGCACGTATATATTATGCTTCCGCATGTGTGTTCGTCATTTCCGTGCGAAGTGCATCTCGATCTGGAGCGGGATTTGTTACACAGCATCACTGTAGAGCACCTGCACAACCTGCACGGAGTGCTTCCTTGTACTGCCATGTGCATTCACATAATTATGCATGCACTCACGCCCAGTCGCCCACCGATACATTCTCTCATCTATGAGCACGGGTCATGTTCTTTGAAGCACTGCAGCAGCAACACACTATGACCTCCAGACGTCCGCCTTATTTCCAAAATGGAGCCTGAAGACATGGCCTGTCCCAACCAGTCACCCGCATTATTTATTTTGGAATGCCCGACAGTCCTGTTCATGTATGGGCTAGATTAATTAAAGCAACGCAATGTTGCAGGATGGGCAGCTGCTGTGAAACGCCGGCTGCATGAGTTAGTTCTGATGAACACCGCGTGCAGCTGTTGTCCAGATGTCCTGTTTGCATTTTGATATTTTACTCTGCGGACGAGTGTGTGTGTGTGTGTGTGTGTGTGTGTGTGTGTGTGTGTGTGTGTGTGTGTGTGTGTGTGTGTGTGTGCGTGCGTTTGTGTGTGAGAGTGAGTGTGTGTGCGTGCGTACGTGCTGGCCATATTTTATTGGGGCAGCAGTGGGGTTGCGGAGCACGACAACACCCGGTCCTGCATAAAGCTATGAAGGGCGACTGCTTTTTCTTCTGAGCTTCTATTCTCGTCCCTGTGTACCTGACTGTGTACATGCGCAGGAGTAGCCGTGCATCAGAAGAAGCCCACTTCCTGAGGATGTCCGGCTGAGGAACACCCGCTGACGATGGTAAATTCCTACTTCCCATAAGCCCAGCGACATGCTCCTCGTGCCGTTTTCATGGGAAGAACAATAATTGCTGTAGCGGCAAACTCGCCCCCATCTCATGCACGCGGATGGCAATGGTGTTATTAAAAAAAAAAACAAGACATGCTCAATACGCCCATGGTTCGAGTCGTACTGCACCCGGCAGGAAAGAGGTCACGCTATTGTGTCGTAATTTTACTTGTTTTGCACATCCTTGTGACATCAGAGGCACCGGGTCGCCACTCAGGACATGCACGTTTAATGATGTCATTCCATGATGTCATCATTTGAGGTGTTTTGTACGGAGTGGCATCACGAGGACTGGTGTGCCGCTCCATGCAAAGCACCCAGCTTTGTCATTCGACAAACCCCATAGTGGTTGTCTAATTTTTTTCAAATATCCGGGCATCCTTCTGACCTTCGTAAGCTGCGAACATCGCACTGCTGTTGTTGCTGCTGCTGTGCTTTCGCTCTCCGTGGGAAATGTACAGCAGAGATGGTACCACCTACGTAAATTAACAGTGCAGCAACCGAGGCCATGATCTAGATCATTGACGGTATTCCATTTTTCTTACTCTATGATTTTTTTATCTGATGACCATTATGAGATTTTCTAATTTTTAAAATTAGCAGCCTATTATAGGGGCCATCCGACATTTTCGTTAATTCTCACGGACCAAAAAATATATTGACATGACAGCTAGCCTAGAATGGATTGATGTTTCAGCTATGAATATTTTTTTGTAAACGAAACTCTCCTCCGCCCACCCACCTGTAAACGAAACTTTTTTTCGTTTCGTGTACAGGATCGATAATTATTATTATGGGCGGCCCCTTACTTACTCCATTGATTTGATCCGTTGAGCAGATCATCTTTGTACAGGAGGGTTGAGTCTTAACTGTGATTAATAGTAGTCCCAATGCCGGGCTCATGTTGTATTTTATTCTTTGTGTCCTGCAGTTACAATCATGTGTGAATCCGTTTGACATCAGCATATCCTCATAATAATATTATCATTGACCGTCTCCCTCTAGTTCAGGAACTTCACCAGAAAAACTGCATTATGGGGATTCTACTGGTCAGCGAACATATTCAGAAAAAAAGTAGCACCTTATTTCGATGTGTATAGTTTGGAAGTTTTAAAAATGCCACCAAGTGTTCGGAAATGTGATAATGACATCAGTTCCAGCTTTTTGATGCCAAGTACTACACTCATACATACCACCAAGAAATCATAATCCCCCAGACTGCGCGACTTCACTGATCAGATCTGGGACGGCGATATCCGTGTTGCACGTCATAGTGTGACATCATGAGCAGGGGAAGTGTGTCCGTGGTGTACCGCGTAGGCGGAATGACGCAAGTCTGACCCCCAAAGAATGACGTTCGTCACGGATTACGCCGTGCCACAACCCCATCCCAGTTGTGCACTCTGTGGGACTATGGACTCTTGATACCACTGCTAGTAGCTTATGCTTGGAAACTGGAAAGAAGCTCTCAGCTTTGAGCGAATGACATGACATTGTGCAGACCCATTCTAAGTTCACTCATACCCGAGTTATCCGGACACCAGAATTTGGTCTACAGGGCAACCTTCGAGTATGCTTCAGTGGGAATATCACGACAGTCTACTAGCAGGAGTCCATACACAAGAGTATGCAGCTATGATCTCTTTTCTACGGGCCAGATGCGCGGCGCGCTGCCTTCATTTATTAATACATCACTCAGCTGCAGTGCGCGAACTGCGGTAAATCAAACACCGCACTTTCCCTCTGGTTTGATCTGGACCAATTCGCGATGAAATAATTATTTCAACGATCTGAGTTTTCATTGTTTCAAAACGAGAGATAACCACGCCCTACCGTGCATGCAAAATTTCGATTGCCGTGGAAAAACTCAAAAATAACACCGGCGCTAAAATTAGCCGTTTTACAGTAATCGGCACTCTACTGAGTACTGTAATTCGGAGTTACGGAGATTTCAAAATTATGGGTAGTGCCCGGTCCCAGACCACCCTTTATAAACGCGGTGTAAGTGTACAGTGTAATTCAGTCAGTACAAGTAAATGTACAGCTCTGTTATATTTATACAAAGAGAAAGACCTTGGCTCTCCATCTGAGTCCATTCTCTGTTATAATTATTATTACGAAATGACCCAAAGGCAATGTGGCTATATTATACAAGGTGGAATCCAACCCAACAGTGCATATCCTGTCCCCGAACATGCACAGCTGGGCTGTAAGTGGACACAGGTCAGCAACTGATCTGATCACGATGACACTGGTTCAGCCAGGCCAGGCCACCACCGGCTTTGCACGTCGGGTTGGATTTCACTGAGCACCCAACTACACATAATTATACAATCAAATCTGTGGACAGCAACTGTTTCGCTCTCGATTATGCAATCATGTATGTACATGTATTGTACTCAATCTTCATGTGTGTATCGTATGTATGGGATGGATCTCAGAGTACTTTAATTTCACAAATTTTCGGTGCACTTTTATTTTCGGTACTTTCGGTGCATCTGTTTCATACCTAAAATTTCAGTACACCGAACAAACACTAAAACACAGAATCCAATAGGGAACTGCTTCTCTGTACATAACAATTTCTGTTCACCTAACCTGGCCATTTGACCTCATACCGAAATTTTTAGAAATTAGATACCATCCAGCACGAACTTTGCCCAAGAAGTTAGAACGCAGCCAGATCCATGAAATTACATCTCAGACTACCGGTAACCCCCTTGAAACAACGTTCTTTGGCGCGACTCCAGTACATCCTGCTCTTCGAGGTATGAACGCTGCACTCTGGCAGTCTGCACTACACGTAGAACAGGAGTTCAGCCTTCACAATATCACTTTCTACAATGCACGACATGCGACACAATTACTGTACAGTTATACATGTGCATGAAACCAGGACATAAGTATCAGACATTTTGCACTGAACGAACACACAGCAATGGAAATTCTGAAAACTGTACTGCATGGACGTGTGCCATATACTGTAAAACATGTAATTTTCGGTGATTTCGGTGGAAAAATCAGGCACCTAAAAGGCACCAGAGTATGCACTGTATGTGGAGGGAACGCTGGTCACCTAATTCTACATTACAACTGAATCCTGGCACCGAAATTTTAATGCACCTAAAATTACATGTTTTACAGCATCGCAATTTTTGAACTTTGTGCGTCGCGCTATGATCGTGATAACGGCAGACCAGAGCACATGCACATTAAGTAGCATTGTGCTAAGCTGTGCCAAAGTCACACGTAAACTCGTACACCGCACAGACACATGTAATTATAGAAGACCCAGGTAGAGAGAGAGAGAGAGAGAGAGAGAGAGAGAGAGAGAGAGAGAGAGAGAGAGAGAGAGAGAGAGAGAGAGAGAGAGAGAGACAACCCACAAACAATCAGCATCCTCGGCACACACCACTCTTGCAACAAGGGACTACGTCAGATTTGCAGCCACTCGACTGGTACGGATTGAGAGTAGATCAGACATACACAACAATGCACGAGAAAGCACAGCAAAGCAACACAATTACTACACGGATGGTGAATTGGTAAAAAGGTCTGCAGTGAAACAGAGAAACCGCTTGTGTTAACACCGGGACGCAAAAAGAAAAAAAGACTACACACTCACATACGAACACAAAGGGACCCTGACGAGGCACTATCGCTTACACTAGGCACCTTTGTTATCGAACTAAACCTAGCGAGAAGAAAAGAGAGAGACGGAAAGCATATATTATAGCTACGGAGCGGAGTTCAAAGGCACACAGGATAGCACGAAAAGATACGGACACGCCAACTCAACTGCACATGTGCAACGGGAAAAGAAAAACAGGGGAAAGGAAGTGGTGATAAACTAAAGCAATGTTGAGGGCAGCTGACGGACTTCCTGCAACGCCAGGCACCAGCAGCCAAGTAAAATAAAGCAGAGGAAAGAAGAAACTGAAGGATGGCAACAATGACGCTCGACCGAGTACGAATCAAAAGGCGTCTCCCTGACCGTGGCTTCGGGAACCAGCAGGCTTGGTATGAGCAGCAGGAAGAAAGCAAAAGACCCGGCGAACGGCAAGCACATCAAAAAGAAAAGAACAGAAAGGAAGCTCAGGGAACGAGGGCAGATCTAAAACATCGACAATGCATGATAACAGTACATAGAAAGACGGAAAAACGAACGGAAATGAAAAAAGAAAACAAAAAAAGCTCTAGCTCTAAAAGCGCAAAGCATTCAGCTGACCAGCAACGCAGGAGAGGGCAGGTGTTGCGAGTGACGCATGCACTCCAACCAAAAAAAATCAAGTACATGAACACAGCATAGCTGAGTCGCCGCTGACAAAGCAGACAGCTCCCAGACATGGAACTAGCCAGAGGATATGGGGGAATGCCCAGACGGCTTGCAGGCTACTGTCCTGCAAGGGACATTAGGTACGGACGCAGACGGAAGCGTAAAAATGGGGGAATTTTTAGCTCAGCATGTACACGTGAAAGCCGGTGGGGGGGAGCACGGGGGACTGGGGAAATTTTATGAAAATATATATAATAATGTTGGCAGCACTGGACTTGTGGGCAAGGCGTGACGAGATTATGGAATAGGGGCATGGGTGAACACGGAACAAACAGCAAATCTAAGCAAATATCAAAACCGGCTCTGTCCACGTAAACTAGCTAACAGGGAGGGTGCAAAGCAAGACCGCCACACAGTCGCCGCCGCTTTGTACATTACCGGCCTAATCGATGAGCAAGGAGATAATGAAGAGTGTAAGGGGTGCCTAAATTTCGCCTGTACAGATTCGAACATGGCCGCATCAACCGCGTGGCAGAAGAAAGCAGTTCTCATGGCTGTCGCCACCACCATCACCCGCAGGAGAGGAGCTGAACCATTCAGCACTAATGGACGATCGCAGCAAATGTACCACCACACACGTACGTGACAATGAACACAGAAAAGCCATAACGACTGAACACTCTTTGCCGGTTCGACATCGACGATTGCGAATGTCAATCTTCAAAAAGGCACGTACAAGAAAGCGCTCGTCCGACGACAGCAGATGCTAACATGATACGAGACTGCACTCAAAGCAAGCGACTGCCAACGAGTGGCTCAGCAATAACCTTGACCTATGTATTGTTACACTGTCGTCCTCTACATGATTATACACTTGCTCTTCTTCTTCTTGGGCTGCTCCGACCGCGCGTTGTTGAAACGGCGGATGGCGCGTACTAGGTCGTGGAAGGCAGGGTCGACGTTCGTCCTCTGCTTTGCACTGGTCTCAATGTATGGGATCTTCAGCTGGCTGGACAGCTCCTTGCCCTCCGCCGTTGATACCGTCCGCTCGTCCTCGAGATCGGCCTTGTTAGCGACGAGGATCATGGGGAACTCGTCGCGGTCTTTCACTCTGAGGATTTGCCGATGAAATGTCTGGATCTCCTCGAACGATGACTGCTCGATCACGCTGAACACGAGCAGGAAGCCTTCGCCGGTTCGCATGTACTGCTCACGCATGGCGCTAAACTCTTCCTGGCCGGCCGTGTCGAGAATATCTAGATGTGCTACTTTGTCGTCGATCACGCACTGCTTGCGGTAGCTGTCCTCGATCGTCGGATCGTAGTCACTGACAAAGTGCGACTGAATGAACTGAATGGTCAGTGCGGACTTGCCCACACCACCGGAACCTACTACCACCAGCTTGTACTGCTTGTCCATATCCTTTTCCTTGCCCTTGCCTTTCGACATCTTTGCTGCTGCTGCTAGGACTATTACTAAATCAGGGTGAAATTCGGGCTAATAGTTCTGTTGAAAAACGCTGACTACTACTTGACAAAGATGTACCTACACACCACTTAGCTGCAACGATGCAGCGGTAGGTACTGAATGAGCGCGTCGGGATAGGCTAGAACTGCCGCGCTGGCTATGTTAGAGATCTGCGCACGGAGAGAACAGGAGGAAAGCAGCAACGACAAGGCACGCACACGGCACACACACACACACGTGGACAAAGGCAAGCACAAGGCACGGAAGCGCAGACACAAAACAAACACAAATGGAACACGTTAGGATGGCATGCAATGCACACAGCATACGAAAACAAGCGGGGTGACGGCTGCTTTCTGATGGTATTCATTGCAAAATTGAAATTTCTTTCTCCAAATACCACAATCAATTTCTCAAAGACAACAAATAGCCCACAGTGTCAATCAATCGCACACAATCCAAAGACATACACATAAGAGCTACAAAGCAATGAACTTTCGGATTGAGGCTCATGTGTGGAGTCCTAGAACTACTACAGACAGTACACAGATGCTTCACACAAAAATTTCTTATAAAGGCACAATTTCTCATATTACTCATAAATTTCCTTCCCATTTGATCCCAGAACTACTTCGGTCACCAGGAGGGCAAATGCCACTGATCTACCAACAATTCAATACTTATTTTTATTACTAGTAGCTACAAACACAGCGAGCGCAATCACGATGCGGCAAGCAGGTTTGCTGGAATCGCCACGCAGCAACGTTCCTTCATTCATTTCTGGTTGCAGGCGATACGTCCCACTCCACGTATGCAACGCGTCCGCATCCAGCAGCGCAAAACCGTGCATCACCCCAAAGCTAGCCAAGCTGATTACAAAGCATGTAGTCGGTACAGAGTTGTAACAGTTACTGTTTGACCCATCCATACCCATACGCGGTCACATCATGGTAGTTGCGCTTTACATCCGCCACTCACCGCGACAAGCAGAAGTACAAGCGTTTGCTGGGGAGCTTTGCAGACAACAAAACGCAATTCCTCACACACACAGACAAACCATTCGCCTTTGTGGTTCGCAACAGCAAAACGACACCAAGCCACAAACTCACATTAACACAAGTCTGGTCCGATGATCAGCGAGCAACAGCAAATCAACGGGCAGAAGAAGCAGACTGAGATACCCACAGAACACGACAAGAACGAGGCAACACCGTAAACACGACAGCACTGCCGAGCGCAGGCAAGGTGAGCAAAGTCGTTCAGATGACGCGACCAACCCTAAACAAGCGCCAGGAAGAGCTCTCTACAGTCGCCGGCAAAAAACTCAACTCAACGCCCTGGTGGGACAGCTCCGAGAAGAGATGCTGCATGTAGTAAAGTAATGCGCCCATATGTTGCACTGTGACAGAATGGGCCGAAGACACACCACAGTTGTACGAGCCAATCTGGGTCATACGAGGAACACTACATCTTCTATCAAGGCAGAACTGGACTGATGAGCTGGGAAACTAGACAGCTGTAATAATAAAGACACTGCACTCCTGGAGTGTTTCAGAACACACAATGCGCTCTGTTTTTTTCAAGTTTCACAACCCAGTTGCCAGCTTGGCTCAGCCTGGTAGAGATCTTTGTGCAAATGCATCAGTGAAGAACCCATCAACCCCATACGAGAACTGACGAAGCTGGCCAAACAACTAAGCAGAGACGAGACTCCACCAAAATACTACTTCGTGATCCGAATAGCTTCCAGATCTATGGCATCCATACTAGAATATGCAACATCGGCTGAAAGCACAGCAGCCACAGCACAGGTCAATCGCGTAGAAGACAACCAGTTGTCGGGGTGAACATCAGGACATTTTCTTTTCAGAAAAGAATCCCAGCAGGACACCGAGACTATGTCACAGAAGACATTCTCTTTTACACCACGAGCCAAAAGCGGTAAGGGCAGGAACTGGAGGCAGTCACTCTATGCGAAGTAGAAATCCACACAGGATATGTCCAGCAGAAACACTACTGCTAATACGAACGACGATTGAAAACTAGTCCAACAAACCTACATCGCAACACCTAGGCAGCTTCACAATATACACGTAAACATCATACGGAAACTCACCTTGGCTATTCCAGTTCGGTCCAAGATATTCCCTCCCAAACAGCCAGCAATCCAACGTGAACAAGTTTAGATAGACAAATTCTCACAAATGGTTGAAATGCCACAGCAACGAATCAGCAAGGCGCACACAAACGGACAAGCAAGACTAAACAGCTGCGCATGCGCACTTGCTCGCTGCTGCCCCCGCGATTCTTGTTGCGCGTGCTGCGCGCGTGTGCTCACCCGTACCCGCGGCCCGATCCCGGCCGAAGCCCGAATGCACCGGACCGTGTTACGATAAGGACAGGTTTTGGCTCACTTCTTGATAAGCCTAACTTCTTTGAGTTCCAAAGATCACTCAGTCAGTCAGCGAGTCTGTCGGTGACTGTTTTCGAGACAAAGAGAGAGGAGGTTTTATAGTCTGCTCTGAATCGAGTACATGTAGACTGTTTCCTGTTCTTTGCAGTTGCGAAAAGCCCTGTACTGCTGTAGGCTGTAGAGAAGGCTTTTTTCAGAACGCAAGAAGTGGGCACTTTTTGTGTTGTAAACAAACCGTTGATCACGTGAATTTGGTGGACTTGTTTGTGTAGGATTTTCAGACTCCCTGACGGAAAACGAAGATGTCAGCGGCTTCGTATGGAAAAGCCGAAATGCTGATGACATCATGTAACAGGGTTTGTTGAGATCCTGCACGGGCCGGGCCACGGGCACAAAAATAGATTGGCATGACCTCGTATGGAACACTTGCATGTCTCCTGCAGCAGTGCAGGACCTGCATACATGTGATGTAGTCTGGTGACTCGGACCGCGGGCTTGATTCGGATGCATCGATGATGCATCGATGATTGATGGATGTTCAAATAATTTTTGTTTTCGATTGTTCTCCTTGTTGTTGTTTGAGCTGAGGTCGTTTTTACTTTTGAAGTGCGTTCTCAGCTGAATGTCCCATGCTTTTTGCTGACTGTAATATTGCATAGATATAGGGGCTTGTTGTGTGTGTTGTGTACATGTATTTTGACCATGGGATCTATCGTAGCCCGTATCTGGCGACGGTTGTGGGGACCTCAGGACTCGCCGAGCCCGTGGAGTCCGTATGGACTCAGAGGCCCAGCTGTTCCACATTTGTCCCTGAATGAGAAGGAGTTCAGGAACAGGCGGCTGTTCATTGTGGGCGATGTACATGGATGTTATGATGAGCTGACAAAATTGCTAAACATCGCAGATGCAACTCAACCAAACGTACAAGTCATATTTGTTGGGGACCTGATCAACAAAGGGCCCAAGAATGTGGAATGTGTTGAGCTAGCACGGCGCATCGGGGCTTTAGCCGTGCGGGGCAATCACGACGAGGTGGCCCTATCGGTGCTGCAGAAAACCCGTGCGATGGGCGGTTCACTGCCCACCCAGATGCAGTGGCTGGGCGACCTGAGCGAGGAGAGTGAGCGGTGGCTGCTGGAGCTGCCCTACACTATCCACATCCCTTGGCTGAACTCTCTGGTGGTGCACGCGGGCCTGGTGCCGGGAACCCCACTCTGCCAGCAGAGCACGGACCACATGATCCACGTACGCAATCTGATCTGGGACGAGGCGCGCGGCACGTACGACGCCATCTCGCGCACGGACGAGGGCCGCGCGTGGGCGGGCGCGTGGCCCGGTCCCATGCACGTGTTCTTCGGACACGACGCGCGGCGCCGGCTGCAGCGCGAGGCGTACGCCACCGGTCTGGACACGGGATGCGTGTACGGGGGCGAGCTGAGTGGCATGTTCATCGATGGTGACGACGTCCGCACTGCCGAGGTGCTCAGCGTCCCCGCCATAAGTACCCACCGCAAACCGTAACAACTCATCCGCACTGCCGAAGTGCTTACCGTCGCCGCTATGAGTACGTACCGCAAACCTTAACACCCGTTGCTGTACAAGCAGCAAACACCCGTGTTCTCCCGTGTTTGTCTCCTGCTGGGAAGAAACTATTCGTTTCGTGACTGAATTTCTATGCGTTTTGGCATTCCCTCAAGTAGTAAATATAAGCACCACGGATGTGGCATGGCACAGTTCGTCACGGAATTCACCCACGGCGATGGGTTTGCATCGTGCTGCATTGGCGAGCGCGCGTTTTCGGAAAGCACCGCCGTTGTAACGGGCCTGCTGAGCCAACTTGATTCAGCCCTTGGCTGTGAATTGCCACGGAGCTGTTGCGGCGACAATCCGTATGTTTCGGATGACCGATTGCGGCTGACCCGTTGGTGGTGAGTGGTATTGCTCTACTGCGCCATGCCACTCGTGTGGCGTCACGCATGGCCTTGCTGCGCCGGTGATGAGAATGGTGGTGGTGACGCAGGACCGGCGAATGATGATACGGTCCGCAGAGACGTTGTCGTCTGGACAGTTAAGGAGCTTGTGGAGACAGCAGAGGGAGGTTTAATCCACGTCCGCAAAACTGTCCGTTCTATGTCCACGTGGACGCAGAGTGATGGGACAACCGTTAGCGACACAGAATTCGGTGCGGTTCGATTTCTGCCACCTTTTGACCTGTCTGTAAGAAGAGTAAGAAGTACTATTGTAGTTTGATCAATTCCAGCTGCTACTAGCTTTCATGTGTGTGTGTGTGTGTGTGTGTGTGTGTGTGTGTGTGTGTGTGTGTGTGTGTGAGAGAGAGTGTGCGTGCGTGTGTGTGTGTGTGTGTGTGTGCGCGTGCGTGTGTGTGTAACCCTCTGTGGGCTGGAAGTGTAGGAGTAGAGCTGATCTGGAACAATCCTGGTGAGGACCATACCTGACTGTTTAAGCTATAGTAGTGTTTATTTTAGTACGCATAAATTGCGGACTGCGTTTTCCCTGGCCTAGCATTCTTTGACATGCAGGGTGTTTTTTCCCCCGTATTTATAGACTTGTTTTCAATGTTTCATTGCACTCTCCGCTTTGAATGGAATCATTGTTGAATCAGTGGGTTATTTATAACAGCAATATTTGAAGTATACAGTGCATGCGTGGCGTGCATGCTTTGTCCATGCCCCATGTCCTCAATCATAAAGCATAATATTATTTATTTTCTATTTGCTGGATGCAAGTACTTCGAAGTACTCCATCTAGAATCGCCTCTTTTAACATCTGGGTTTGAATCCTTGACATTGAAGTTTCAGATAGTTTTTTTTTTACATTGTTTGCTCACTCCATTCAAAGTTCTTTTTTGTTTTTCAGATGACTTGTTATTCTGTGTACATGTATGTGTAATGTTCCAAATGCAGGCGTTTGGCAAAATGTTAAAACGAGTTTCTTTTCCGTGATTTCTACAGTACTAATTTTTTCCAGCTTCTGGTAGCGGCTGCTGCAGGAAAATAATGTCTGGATGTGTGTGTGTGTGTGTGTGTGTGTGCGTGTGTCTGTGTGTCTGTGCATGTTCACTGTACACTCGACAGTTCCTGGACAGATGGTCCTTGTCCACTGGCACGTGTCAACATCCAACATATGCTACCGGTGCGAAGCTGCTGAATGTGCAGCAGCTCCACCCAGCGCCTTGTTCAGTTGATTCCGTTCCACTGTCGGCGGACTCATATCCCGCTCATTCTGCAGTTTGACCTTTCGCATGTCCCACAAACGTATGAGCTTCACTTGGGTGTATTCCTCCGTGACAGTCTGCCTTTTTCCGTCATTACTGCTATAGCCTCATTGTCAAAGCGAGTTTAATTCTGGTAGCTGTGGTGCTGTACTTGAATGAATCGCCAGGATGTGTTTGTCGACGCCCAATCATGCATCCACAGGCACTGTATGATGTACATGACAGAATGTCAACACCCCCGTTGTGGATGCACAAGCAGGGTATGGATGTGGCAGGATGTCAGTACCCCCAGCTTTCCATAAACCAGTACTGACTCTGTAGAGTAGGCATGTAGCAGTGTGTCAACCAGGCAGTATTACTAACTGTAATAGGAGTGTAGCAATCAACAGCCATTTCAGTTGTGCATTCACTACTAGCACTGCCTGGATGTGGCGGTGTGTCAACCAGGGAGTAGTGTGGCAATCAACACCCACCCAGTTCAGTTTTACATTCACTGTCTGCACTGTATGGATATATGGCAGCAGTGTGTCAACACCCACTGCACTGCCAGTTGCAGATAGGAGCACCAGCACTGTATGGATGTGTCAGTACCGTAATACAGTACCAGTATGTCAGTCGCACATACACGTACATAGTCATTGTACCAGCAGTGGCAGCATGCACCATACAGATGAGATGTGTCAGTATGTCAGTCGTACATATCGGCACATGGCTGTACATCATTAGAATACATTACAATACATGTCAACACCCACCATGCGGAATCGGAATGATGCATGCACAACACCAGTGTATGTCTAATGAGTGTTGGAATGGTGCATGGCATTCGTTTAGGTATCGGTACTAGTAGATCATGGGCGGAATGGGATGACTCAATCACACAATACCAGTCCAGGGCAAAGAGATCAATCAGTGGAGTCTGGATGCATACACTAGCATGCTGGGGAGTCAATTTTTGTGACAGCTCTGTCTGTGCGCTTGACCAGTGACTGCACTGACTCACAGTGGAACTGTCCATGTATAGTAGTAATGCTGTGGGCGAAACATCTCAGCACGCCTTCTGAGTTCATGAAGAGCTACATGTACAGCCCAGGATGTCAAACTCGCCATTCACGGCAGAGCTACATTGTATAGCTGGGGGGAGGAGAAGGAGTCGTTCGGATTATATTTTTGATGGGCGAGTTTCATGGAGATAACAGAGATACTGCGCAATTGAGCAAGAGACCCATGAATCCAGTTGGATAGCGAGCCGATAAAACTACATGTAGGAGCCACAAGCAACGGCCTGCGACTTAGACGGAGAAAAAAACCATTCGAAATAATCGACGGCAACAGTTTCAATAATGCTAAGA